CTTTGTATGTTTGTTGGCCATTTGGATATCACCTTTGGAGAAATGTCCATTCAAGTCCTTCATCTCTTTCTTACTTAGATTATCTGGGGACATTTGTTGTTGAGTTATAAATGTTCTTTATGTATTCTAGATATTAGTCCCTTATCAGATATACGTTCAAAGAATATTTTTTACCATTTCATAGGTTGCCTTTGCACTGTTTATCATGTCCTTTGGTGCACATAAGTTTTACATTTTGATGCAGTCCACTTTGTCTACTTTTACTTTTGTTACCTGTGATTTTGGTGTCACATCTGGAAACTCTTTGCCAAATCCAATGTTATGAAGCATTTCTCTCTGTTTTCTTTTTAATTATTTTTATTTTTTTTTTTTTTAGATTTCATTTATTTGACAGAGATCACAAGCAGACAGAGAGGCAGGCAGAGAGAGAGGGGGAAGCAGGCTCCCTGCTGAGCAGAAAGCCGGACGTGGGGCTCGATCCCAGGACCCTGAGATCATGACCTGAGCCGAAGGCAGAGGCTTAACCCACTGAGCCACCCAGGTGCCCCTCTCTCTGTTTTCTTCTAAGAGTTTTATCGTTTTAGGGCTTTTATTTAGGTCTTTGATCATTTTAAGACACTATTTATATACTGTACTAAGTGTTCATTTATTCACTTGCAGATAACCAGTTTTCCCAGGACCATTTGTTGAAGAGACTGTCCTCGCCCCACTGGTCTTGGCATCCTTACTGAAAATCATTTGACTATACATGTGAGGGCTTATTTCTGGGGTCTCTGTGCTGTTCCATTGTTCTACATGCTTGTCTTTATACCAGTACAATACTGTTAATTATTTTAGCTTTGTGGTAAGCTTTGAAATCAGATGGAAGAGACCTCCAACTTTATTATTCTTTTTCAAGATTATTTTGGCTATTTGGGGTCCCTTGAGGTTCCGTATTGCATTTTGAGATGGATTTTACTATTTCTCTATAAACTGCTATTGGGATTGCATTAAATCTATAGGTCCTTTGGGTACTATTGACATCTTAATAACATTAAGATTTCCAGTCTATGAACATGGATGTCTTTCCATTTATTTGTATATTCTTTCTTTCAGTAATATTTTGTAGTTTTCTGTTGGCAAATCTTTCGCTTTCTTGTTTAAGTTCATTCTTAAGTATTTCTCTTTGTGATGCTGTTGCAAATGGAATCGTTTTCTTCTTTTCCTTTTTGTTCATTGTTAGTATATAGAAACTGAATTCTGAGTGTCGGTTTTGTATATTGCAACTTTGCTGATTTCATTTACTAATTCTAATGGTTTTGGGGGTTTTTGTTGTTGTTGTTGTTATTGTTGTTCTTTGGGTTTTGTTTTGGTTTGTTTTGGTTTGGGTTTTTTGTGGAAACTTTAGGATTTTCTATGTGTACCATCATGTCATTTGCAAACAGACAGGATTTTAATTCCTCAATCCCAGTTGGGATGTCTTTTAATTCTTTTTCTTACCTACTTATCCTGGCCGAGACTTCCATAATACTATGTGTAATGAAAGTGGTGACAGTGGGCATCCTTGTTTCTGATCTTAAAGGAAAAGCTTTCAAGGGCACCTGGGTGGCTCAGTCAGTTAAGCGTATAACTCTTGATCTCAGCTCAGGTCTTGATCTTGGGGTCGTGAGTTCAAGCCCCACATTGGGCTCCACGCTGGGCATGGAGCCTACTTAAAAAAAAGAAAGAAACGTTTTCAGTCTTTCACTGTTGAGTATGATGTGATCTGTGGGTTCTCATAGATGGACTTTATTCTATTAAGGTAGTTTCCCTCAGTCAGATTTTTTAGTGTTTTTATCATGAAAGGGTGTGCATTTTGCCCAATGGTTTTTCAGCATCAATTGATATAATGATGTGGTTTTATTTCTCTCCATCCTGTTTGAATAAACCTCTTTTTCCTTTATCCTCAGCCTAACTGTATTTGAAGAGGGAAAGAAAAAAAGATGAGCACATTCACGAAACATTGTCTACCTCTTAATCCTCCTCCAATAGAAACCTTTTATGAGCACATATGTCCCATGGTACACAGAGGTTGCATGGTGAGCCCTCCCTCCAAGGCTCAGGACTGGCTGTTCAGAAAAAAATGTCAGACCACACAAATCTTCCTCAGATACCAATTATAATGTGGGTTTTCCCCTCACAATACCGAGCAATTCTCAGATACCGGCTGGTTGTCCTACAATTTAACTTAATTCAGACACTATGTACATGGAGATGGTATTAGACCCACTGCCTGCGGGTTCAGTCCCAAAAACCTGCCCTCCACTTCAGATGCCAAACACGAGTCCAGGTTGTCCCCTGTGCTTCTGACCGATGGGCTAGAAATCAGAGGTTCCTATGACCCTCTCCCTTGAATCCCATTAATTTGCTAGAGTAAGTCACAAAACTAAGGAAACGTTTACTCATTTGATTACTAATTTAATATAAAAGGATAGGACCCAGCGGCAGCCCACGAGAGTACTTGCATCAGCCAAGGTATAGAGGAAAGGCATGGGGCTTCCATGTCCTCCCCAGGTGTGTACCCTCCCAGCACCTCCATGAATTCACAAACCGGATGCTCTCTGAACCCATCGGTTTGGGTTTTTATCGAGGCTTAATGACACAGGTGTGACTGATGACACTGGCCACTGGCAACTGAATTCAATCACCAGCCCCTCTCCTCTCCCAGAAGTGGGGGGATCTGGTGGGGGATGGGTAGGCCTCAAAGTTCCAACCCCTCTACCTACGAGGTTGGTTCTCCCCATCCTTACGTTACCTAGGGTCTTTGCAAAAGTCGCCTCATTGACTGCAAAATACACCTTTACTGTTCCCATCATTTAGTAAATTCTAAGGGTTTTAGGAGCTCTGCCAGAAACTCAGGTGAAGACCAAACCCATTTCTTACTAGAAGTCATGGTATTGTAACACGACTTTCAGTTTTCCCCGGTACACAAGGAACCAAGACTTAATCAGAACAGGTTTATTCTTATCTATTTTTTTAAAAAGATTTTATTTGTTTAATTGACAGAGATCACAAGTAGGCAGAGAGGCAGGCAGAGAGAGAGAGGGAAGCAGGCTCCCTGCTGAGCAGAGAGCCCCATGTGGGGCTCGATCCCAGAACCCTGGGATCATGGCCTGAGCTGAAGGCAAAAGCTTTAACCCACTGAGCCACCCAGGTGCCCCAGAACAGGTTTATTTTTAAATGTCAAAGGAAGGGTGTCCCTCTCTCTGCCTGCCTCTCTGCCTACTTGTGATGTCTGTGTGTGTGTGTCAAATAAATCAATAAATAAATCTTTAAAAAAACTATCAAAGGAAATGATCGTACGAAACTGCCTATAACAAGGGGATAAAGGGATCACGTTTACTAAATGTACTGAAAATCCCTCCCTGAACAAGTGGTCGAGGATGTGTCCTTTCTCGCTGTTTGCAGGAAGCTTGTCACCCGGGTTAGTAAGCATGGCCTGGGTGTGCATTCAGGACGCACGAAGCTTGTCACCTGAGAGGAGTGCGCTCCTAGGCTCTCCCCGAGATTTCCCGGCGGTGCCCTCGCCCTTGAAATATAATGGACCTCCTTAGCTCTCTTCCCAGATCTCTTGGCTAATTAAGATTGTCTCGGCAACTGAAGGATAAAATATTCTCGAAAGCTGCCATATCCATCATGCTTTTGATGGTGTTGGAGAAACACTCCATTGGTGACAGCGATGCCCAGACTTTGTGACAGCAACTCACAACCGTGCTACTGGGGGAATGAAAGGAGATTCCCGTGAACAGGGAGACTCTTTTCCCCTAGGACTGACTTTGAAGACGGGGGAGTAGCTGCCAGATTCTATTGTCACTTGAAGGGTGCCCTACAAACAGCTCTCCGCGGACGAACCGCTGTTGGGCTTATGAACAGCAGGGCCAAGGTGAAGGGACAACGCTGTTTGGAAAGCCGGCACCTCATCAAAGAAGGTGAAAACAAAGCAGTCCGGTGAGCTGAACGGCACCTTTTCTCGGCAGTGATGGAAGTCTTGAACAGAACAAGACGCCCCCTGTCTGGGTTTCTAGACTCGGGGGTCATGGCCAATGGTCAGGTCATAGTCTGGCAAATGGCTGCAGAAAGCTGACTGAGGAAAGGGATGCCCACGTGCAGCCCAGCCCTGAGGGAATCACTGTGGGAGTCGGAGCGGGGCAGGAGGACAGGACATACCCATCCCCATCAGAAGAAATGCCTCCCAGGTTTGGAAAGGGATTGGAATCGGCCCAGGGTCCGCACTCAGGATGGTCTCCTGGGCCATGAGTGGACATGGGGGCTCTGTAGCAACGCAGACATGTGCTGAATGTCGACAAAGTCCCCTCGCACCCACGGACGCACAAAATGCCTACAAGAACTATTCCATCTGCCCGCGCGAGACACAGAGTTACAGATGGCTCCGTGGCAGGTTCCCTGGTGGGAAGCCCCAGGTCCTCGCTGGCGAGGTAGATTGAAGCTGGTAGCCCTGGGGAGCTACAAATGGGACCTGACGGGAACAGACTGGGGCTCTGAACGGGCTTTGCTCACCTGGTAGTATACGCAGATGCCCGGAGAACTGTAAGGCAACTGCAGCAGAACCCGCCACCGGGTGGAGCCGAGCCCCATTCCCTCAGACCCAGGAACGTGCTGATTGCCCGTGACACCCAACAGCAGGCAGAGAGCTCCGCTCTGCAGAGGGACAGCTCAGTAGGAAACTGGAATGGGCCTTGGAAACACTGGCTGTTGAAAGCCAGGGGAGATGGCCTGTGGGGCAGTAAGCGGGCTGGTAAGTGCAGGAAAACACTTGACAAGAGGACCGGGGTTCTCGGGTGCTCCCTCCTGTGGACCCAACGTTTTCTGCACACGAATGGGGGACAAAGGGGTCAGGGGTGGGAGAGAAGTTTCTGGAACTCCGATCCAGGAGATCTGTGGGAAGCCCCAGAGCAGGCTCTGAAGAGACACAGAGGCTGGGAATGTGCGGGCTGACAGGATTACAGGTCAAGTGTGGGCAGAGACTTCCGGGCAAAGGTGGAAACTGGACAAGAGCAGTCCTGCTCAACAGTGGCCACGTCTCTTTTACTGGGACCCATGACAGCAACGGAACTGTGCCTCTCCGGGGAACATTCCCGTACGCAGGGCTGTAACACAGGCCTGTAAGGGGGAACCAGCCGACATCCACGGAGGCATGCTACCTGGGAAGCAGCCAGATGGCCAGAGCCCACGAAGTGTAGACAGGAGCTGCGGGCTGGCTGGGCCGATCTCCTGTGCCGCACTGGGCATGGGGTGTAGACCGCGGCTTAGGGCCAGAGCCCGGCAGCGCCTCCAGCAACAGTGCTGGGACCCTGGCCTGGGTGAGAAAATTCCCGCGGCTGGCTGACTCCGAACTTGCTCCAGGATGGTAAAGGGGCAAGTACCACAGGGACGGCAGGACACGAAATCCCCCTGCAAGTCAAACACTCACGTCCCAGGAGTCCCAAGACCGAGGAGCTGCAGTTCAGAAGAACCTGAGACAACACGAGCCTCTCCTGGCCCCTGACGTAGCAACCAACGCTTGACTGCACAAGTTTTATTCTTTAAATATCAAGTGATTGATACGCTCGTACAAAAACAGCTACATCGCCAAAGTAGTGTCTAAAGTGCTTGAGCTCCCAGAGCGTGACACACGAGGCTGCGGCACACACGTGTGCACTGAGCCGGGGGAGGGGCTGGGCTTTCTTCCCGGCGGTCAGCAGGGAGGTCCCCCCTTGGGCGGGGGGCACACGGCTGGCATGCAGACTCACGCCGTGTGTGGCTCTCCGGCGCCCAACAGGAGCGGGGTCCGGACCAGCCCCAGAGCTTCCCCGCCGGCGCCTTCCTGGTTGAAGTACCACTGGCTGGGGGCCTCCAGGCCCTGGGCTTCCTCCCAGACCTCCTGGTTGATTAAAGCCGCCTCTCTGCTCGCCTCGGCCGAGAGGTCCAGCACCTGGGCAAAGCTCCTGCAGAAACAAAAGGACAGATGAAGCCTTTCGGCCTCTCCGCCCAGAGCCAGACAGAAGCGGGCTGCGTCCCGTGCGCTCTTGGGGAAGCGTGCGGGACTCAGAACACAGCTGAGCAGAGCTCAGAGAGGCCCGTCAGAACAGGACTGGGCAGGCGCCAAAGAAGAGTCATTTATCCACCAGATATGTGGGGAACCGCACCAAGAACGGACACGTGGCCTCACGCAGTGTAAATGACGGCAGGGAAATACATGCTAAAGGAGTGTGTCTGGCCAGCTGAAGCTGTGACCCTTGGGATCTGGAACCTTCTGGTGCATGCGGAGCTCCCCTGAGGCCACGCACACAAGAAGGGAATGTCCTAGTAGGTGGCAACTCTTTTTTAGGAGTAACTTTCAGTGTTTTTAGACATTTCAAAGAGCATATTCAGCATCATAAAGAACGAAAGGAGATTTTTGGGGGGAAGATGAAGAGGAAAACCCCAAGGTTTAAAAAAAAAAAAAATCCCCGGAGGGGGAAGCTTCAACAGCGAGAAAGTTGCCGAGGGGGCTTGTTGGGGGAGCGGCTGGGGGGTGCCCTGCGGCCTGGGGGCTGCTTGCCCAGGGCCCACATTCGTGAAACCCATCAGACCAAAGCGAGGACCCGTGCCTTTTCTATATGAATTTATACTTCCAGTAACGAGTTCCAAGAAGATCACCCCAAGCCCTTACCCCAGGAGATGTTTCAAGCATGAACAGGCCACCCCAAGGGCACCGGAAATGCTGTGACTCTGGGGAAGTACAGGACAGGTGATGCTAGAGATCCCTTTCTATTGTGGCTTCTTGAGAACACACACGGGGGTTTGGGCTGAGTTCAAGGTGCTTTGCCCATTCCCCTCTCCCTGCCTCAGGGGGTCCCTACACCCCCGGCCTCTGCAAACATCAAAGCTGCCCGCTCGCCGGAGCACGACCGGCTGCTCCCAACTTCAAATCTTTTCTGCCATACCTTCGGAGTTCCAGATCCTTCCTTTGGGTCATTTCCTTGAGTTCGCTCAGCAGGTCCAGAGCTTTCATGTTTTCTTCTAAACTGCCGATCCCCAGTTCTTCCAGCAGATGGCATGTGGTCGTCAACTCCTGCTGCAAATTGTCTGGAGGGGGAAAGGGGCGGTCAGCCAAGGGTTTCACAGTGCCTGGAGCAAGGGATGCTAGTTGGGAGGCCTACTGGATTCTTCTCGTTCCCCAGAATGCTCATGTGTTATGCTGGAATCATGAAGAGCTCAAAGGCAGAGCGGGTCACAGGGGACAACATTCATGTGCTGGTACCGCTTCTCTCCCCATGCCCGCCCAGTGCCACAGATCACAGGGGCCTGAGATCATAAGCCAGGCGTGTCCGCCAGCCGGGCGGTTGCTGGAACGGACCTGGAAGGCCACTTTGACGTCCTCAAGAGAAAGCAATGCAAAAGGCCAAGGATGTCAGTCCTGCAAGCAACTTAAAAACAAACCTGTGGTTCCCACTCCCTGTTCCCAGCATCTCTGCCCCTCTCACCCCTGAGAGCGTAGCCTGCATTTAAAGAAAGCAGCAGCTCCCCACTTCCGCACACGCCACACCATACATGCACTGAGTCACAACCCACCACCACAAGGTTTTGAGACCATTGTAAGGGTTCTTCCACAAACACCCACATTCTTATACTCCCCGTACTGGTCTCCACTGCTTCCTCCCAAAAGACATGTTCAGGACCTAATCCCAAGTAGCTGCGAATGTGACCTTATGGCCATGGAGTCTGTGTTGACGTCACTGGGTTACAGTGAGGTCTGTGAGCTGGCATCCTTCGAAGCAGAGGGCAATTCGGAAGCAAGGCCGTGTGAAGACACAGGTGGACTGGCGCGACGCCACCACCAGCCAAGGAATGCCAAGAACAGGGAGCAACACCGGGAGTCAGGAGAAAGGCACAGAACGCATTTTCCCTCCGAGTCTCCAGGGATGTCCAACTCTGCTGACACCCCGACTTCGGACTGCGGGACCCCTGAACTGAAGGGAATAAACTTCTGGTGTTTTGAGCCACCCAATCTGTCATTAATTCCAGAAGCCACGGGCTCCTTCGCAACCCGATCCCAACTGCTGGCCGCCACCCACGGCACTTGTCAGGGACGGAGTCCAAGAGTCGCAGATGTGCAGCTCACTGCCATCATTATAAAACCGGACACCTGCACGCAGAACATCGCTCCACAAGGCTCATTCTTCAGACTGCGTGTGATCCCCTTGCTACTCTGTATTGGGAAAAGCTGGATTAAAATCACCTGTGTCTGAGATTACCAATAGAGCAATGGCCTTTGTGATCTTGAAATGCATTTGTGGAAAGTTCTGGAGGCAATGTCCACCTGATTTTAGGTGGCGATCCTTTACTTACATCGGCCTCAAACAAGATATATTTAGATGGCTCATGAGGATCCTGCCTGGAAATAACCAGACTCTAGGCTGGCTGAAAACTTGCTTTGGGAAGATACTCGCTCTGTGGCACCTGGGTGGCTCAGTGGGTCAAGCCTCTGCCTTCAGCTCAGGTCATGATCTCAAGGTCCTGGGATCAAGCCCCGCATCGGGCTCCCGGCTCAAGAGGGAGCCTGGTCCCCCCACCCTTCTGCCTGCCTCTCTACCTACTTGTGATCTCTGTCAAATTAAAAAAAAAAAAAAAAAAAAAAGACACTTGCTCTAAAGAGAATTTTAAGATCAAGCATGCATGCAGACTCCTTCCTATGAAGGATCAGGTGGGAACCCTATGCCACAGAGGGGTCCCACGACTCTTCACAGAAGGCAGGACGGGGCCGGGGCACCTGGCTGGCCTGATCGGTGGAGCATGAGACTCCTGACCTTGAGTTCTGTGACTCTAAGTGCCATGTTCAGTGTAAAGATTATGTTTAAAAAAAAAAAAAAGGCAAGATGGGGTAAGGATCAGTGTCTCTGAAGGGAACCCCCCCGCCTTGGGGGACAGCAGCCGATCCCCAGGACTGTATTTTGGCAGGGATGGAAATTACTGGGCCGGTCCACAGACCTGGCTTCAAATCCCAGCTTGGTCCTTACTCAGGGCGCGACCCTGGATAAACCGCAGCCTTGCCGGCCCCCTCCACCCCCGTCCTCTGCCAACTGATGAGGGACACACCATCTACTGAGAGGACGCTGTGACGTGACACAAAGGGATAAAGGCGGCTGGCACACGACAAGCACCGACCCGCACCAGCCGTTCTCTCACTCTGCCCCTTGCCCGGCAGCCGCCCAGTTTCCTACCTAAGAACCGTTGCCCGTCCCCGTCCAGGTGGACCGATTTCACGGGAAGCTCGTGCCTCGTGGTGTCCAGGGCCGTGGCGAACGCCTTGTACTGCTCCTTAAAGCGCTCGGCCACAGCCTCGTAGGGGCTGAGCATCTCGATCTGCAGGCAGGAGGGAAGGAGGCCTAGGACACAAGACCCAGTCCCATACCAGCACCCAGCGGTGCCAAAAGCTGGCCACAGAGTCAGAGCCGGGCGGCAGGGACAGCCCCCGTCCACACTCCCTCGGATCGCTCTGCTGGGCTCACCCCGCCCTGGAACGTGCAGCGCGGTGACTGCATGGCCGCTGACCTGAGCGTCAAGGACGTCTGCCAGCTCCCGCTTCCGCTGAGTGAGGAGAAGTTTGCGCTTCAGCTCATGGGCCTTCTTCTGTAGCTTCTCCTTCTCTTTACACATTATTAATAAATTCCTCTCTGCCTTTTCTTCGAATGAAGCGAGACCATTCTCCATCTGTCAAGCGCACAACAGGAGCTCAGGCCAGAGGGAACGCCATCCCTGCGCCTCGCAAAGCCTTTCCTCCTGCCCATGTCACGCACGAGCGAGCTCTGTCCCCACCTTCACGGTCAGCAGGGTCAGGAGCAATGTCTGGGATTCCATCATTTCCATCGCCTCTGATAGGTCCTTGGGGAGGCGAAAACAACATTTTTGGTTGCCAGTGAATTGGTATAAGCCTAGCTCTCTCCTCACTGGAAGGGCAGAAACCTAACCTTCATAAACCTGACTTAATTCAGTAATGTGATGATTCTCTCCTGTGTGTCAACCCGCTGTTTCTCTTTCCTCGTTCTGTCTTTTTGGGCGCCCTGCAAGAAGGGAGGGGGTGGTCCAGGCCCTTCCCGTGGCTGGCTGGTCCGGGTCAGCTGGGGGAGTCCCATGCAATCAGTGCCACACTGAAGCCAGGAGGCGGAGTGAGACCCCAGCCCAGCTGTCCTCCCCTGGGGCCCAGGGCCTGGCCTAGTGCCTTCTCTAACATAGTATCAGCAAACAAGGCCCCAAATCTCATTGTTCACATGATCTCGCCTTCGTAACTACATGTACTTGTACATATACTTGGGGCAACTTAAACTCTACAAATATTCCGAGGATGCGTGTGGTCTTGGGTTTTCCCTAAAACGCGTGGCTGCCTTGATCCATCTTAGAGTCTCGGGGCTCGAGTGGCACGTGCTGGGGACGAGGGGTGGGTGGGAGCTAACATCAGACGTCTCTAACTCCACAGCTTCTCTTTCATCTTGGACACTCACCGGGCTCTTTCTCTGTGAAGAAGAAAATGATGACGAGTCGGTTCTCTTCGACATCGTCTTTTCTAGCTGCGGAGTCTTTCTAATCATACTCTTGTCTAAGATTGAGAAGAGCATTTGGAAGGTGAGAACTCAGAGCACGCTTTGGCAGCCCTGAGGCGTACCGCAAGGCCCAGCTGGGGAAGAGCCGGGGGGGGCGGGGGGGGACAGGTGGATGATTTACCATTGATGGCCGAGAGGTCCAGGTCTGGCGGGGCAGTGCCGTGCCCTTCCAGCAATGTGGACTGCAGGTCGCCCTTCCCGATTCCGCTGCTGTCTGCAGGCCCAGTGAGAAGCCCCAGAGGTCAGCACAGTCTGCAAGGTCCTACGCGCTATGGCGGGACACAGGCAACTCTGCAACCACTACGAGCTTTTTGCTTCCGAAAAGCCAGCGTCTTGTGAGGGGAGCGGGACAGAGGGCTGCAGCAGCTCTGCAAATTCCCGGCCAGCAAGGTGAATCTATTTCAGAGTAGAAGGAGAGCGAGACGCCGGCTCTCCAACCCAGAGAGGCGAATATGCCTTGCTGCTTAGCTTGGTAAGAAGGGCCATCTGTACCCCAATGTTTATAGCAGCAAGGGCCATGGTCACCAAACTGTGGAAAGACCCAAGATGCTCTTCAACGGACGAATGGATAAGGAAGCTGTGGTCCATATACACTATGGAGTATTATGCCTCCATCAGAAAGGATGAATACCCACCTTTTGTAGCAACATGGGCGGGACTGGAAGAGATTATGCTGAGTGAAATAAGTCAATCAGAGAGAGTCAATTATCATATGGTTTCACGTATTTGTGAAGCATAACAAATAGCATGGAGGACATGGGGAGATGAAAAGGAGAAGGGAGTTGAGGGAAATTGGAAGGGGAGGTGAACCATGAGAGACTATGGACTCTGAAAAACAATCTGAGGGTTTTGAAGGGGCGGGGCTGGGAGGTTGGGGGAACCAGGTGGCGGGTATTAAGGAGGGCACGGATTGCATGGAGCACTGGGTGTGATGCAAAAACAATGAATACTGTTACGCTGAAAAGAAATAAAACAAACAAAAAACACTGTGTTCTGGACAGAGGTCTGCCATGCACCCGTTCTTTCTTCTGCTTTTCCCTTCTTTCTCTAGCAGCTTCTGGGCTGTTCCTCTTCCCTGGGGGGTCCCTTCATCTTTACTCTCTATTTAACCATGTGTAGTTATGCCTGATGCCCCCTAAAATGGGTAGTGGGGTACTGTGGGCTATAACCCAGCCAGGGTTACAGGGGGCTGCAAAACGAACAGATGGCATGTGAAGTCCTCCCTGTTAGCAAGGTGGCAGCCAGTGGCTGCAGGAACGCCCGTGCGGCCGAGAAAGAGGGGTACGTGGGAATAAACAGAGCGACGTCATGGTGACGTGTAGGGTGTGGGGCCCTGGGTTCAAATATTCGAAAAATTCTAAGTGAACAGGAGTCTGCTGACCTCCTGTACAGTGTCTCCTTCGAGAAATACGACGGAACTCAAACTGGCCGTCTCTCTCCAGTCTCGTGGTTATCTTTTTTTTTTTTTTTAAGATTTATTTATTTACTTATTTATTTGACAGAGAGAGAGACACACACAGCAAGAGAGGGAGCACAAGCAGAGGGAGGGGGAGAGGGAAAGTCAAGCTTCCCACAGAGCAGGAAACCTGATGCGGGGCTCGATCCCAGGACCCTGGGATGATGACCCAAGCTGAAGGCACCCAGGCGCTTCCCATGGTTGTTTCCATGATGGTTTCTCAGCCCTGACACTACTGACATTTGGGGCTGCGTCCCGCTCTGGGGCAGGGCTGTGTCAGGGGCAGCAGGCAACTGAAGGGCTTCCCTGGCCTCTCCCATCAAATACAAGTAGCAGATCTTCCCACGCATCACAACAACCAAATGTGTCCAGACATTTCTAAGTCTGAATCGCCCATGGGTGAGAACCCTGATTTTAAGATGTGGCTGACCCAACCTCTGACCCCTCTGGGCCGCGCACTGGCTTTCCCGGCTGGACGCGTGGCCCCAGACCCAAGGGCATGAGCAAAGACTACAGAGCTGGCCCCAGGACATGGAGCATGTCCAGGTCAAGGAGCAGCGCAGACACTGGGCAAACACCCAAACCATGATCGGCAACTTTCCAATCCCCAAAAGGCTAGCGACTCACAGTCTACTATTGATTGGAGCCCCTACTGAGAACAGAAAGTCAATGAACATGTATTTTACGTGTTCTATATACTATACTATAAACTTCATTCATTTAATAAAGTAAGCTAAAAAAAGAAAGGAAATATTAAGGAAATCCTAAGAGAAGATACATTTATAGTATCGTATTGTAAAAATCCCACATATCGGGGCGCCTGGGTAGCTCAGTCGTTAAGCGTCTGCTTTCGGCTCGGGTCATGATCCCAGAGTCCTGGGATCGAGCCCCAAAGCGGGCTCCCTGCTTGGCAGGAAGCCTGCTTCTCCCTCTCCCACCCTCCCTGCTTGTGTTCCTGCTCTCGCTATGTGTCTCTGTCAAATAAACAAAGAAAATTAAAACAAAAAAACCCCCACATATGAGTAGATCCATGTAGTTCAGACCCATGTGGTTCAAGGGTCAACTGTACTTAATTTTTCCCAAGACTCACAGTTGTTGCCACTTTGAACAAGGAGGAGCGGGCCAAGAAACACTTTTGCTTTTTGTGAACTGCTTTCATGAGAAAGAGGGGCCAGTGCTGCTGAAGTGAGCACGTGAGGAGCTGGCAGACTGCAACTCTGGGGAGGGGCCTTCCCAGACTTCTAGAATGAACACACTGACTACAAATGAACACCACATACACAGCAGTGATCGAAGTGGCAGCTCATGAGGATCCACCCTCCTTGTCTACACTTTCTACACTTGTCTACACTTTCCATTTTCCATTGCTGTTGATTTTCGTTTTACAACAAACACTTATGTCTACAATCAGAAAAACTGCAAGTTCTGCATATCACTTTGGTGACGGCTTCTAGGAAGATAAAGGGGAAACATGACGAGGAAGACCTAACCCAAGGTGGTGAGAGGCAGGAAGATGAGGCCTCATGGGCCCCCTGAGTCGCACTCTCAGAGCTCCACCCAGGAAACGGTCACATGACCAAAGAAGCGTCATGATGGCCGCAAAGGAAGTAACCTCCTCTCTTCCCCAGCCATTTCCCTCAGGCTCCCCACGTGCCTCAGACCCGTCCTTACCCAGACACTCTTCTGACACTTCCCAGAAAGAAAGAGGGAGTTTCCCCTTCGCATACTGGAAAACAAAATTCACCACCACGTTCCTCACTTACAGAGTTTCAGAGCTATTTCACACCCTCCCTCCATCTTTACACACCTTTGCTCTTCTGGAGCATGTGGAGTTTCCTTCCCCCTTCAGGCATCTTCCCACCGGTCTTCACTACCTCTGCTACAGAAGTCTGTTAGGGGAACACATGACAGTCAGGATTCAGGGGACAAGACACCTCCCTTCCCGGTGTGTGCAGTTTGTATCTGCTATCACTTTGAGGCCAGGGAGAGATGTAGGGTTCTGACATTTAATTACATAGAAATGGGATTGCTTAATCAAAAAGGATACCCTCACATTCACAGAACACAGGGAACTACCAAAATGTTTGCCAGTGATGGGCTCTGACATGGCAGATACCAGGTGACTGATTTTCTGTATCCTTTATAGTATTCGCAGAGAACATATTCCTCCGGTCATCAGGAAAACAAAGTTTCTGTACAAGTAATAATCTTTAAAACTCATTAAAAAAAAAAAAGAAAAAAAAAACAAGCAATGCACGGAGCTCACAAGCCATTACAACAACATCTGAGCAGAAAGAAAACCTTGTGAAGAGCAAGAACATTTCAAAGCGCAGACACTGCTCCGATTCAACCTCCTACTGGGGGTCTCAGAATAAGAAATAAAAAGCAAACAGCTTAAAAAAGAAAAAAAAAAACTCTCTTCTTACATGATTTACAAAGAAAATCCCAAATGCTACTAAAACCAGTAAGTAAAGGGCTGCCTGGGGGGCTCAGTGAGTTAAGCATCTCATCTTCATTTCGGCTCAGGCTGAAATGACCTCAGGGTCGTGAGATCGAGTCCTGTGTGGAGCCCGGGGCTCAGCATGGAGTCCACGTGAGCTTCTCTCCCTCCCTTTCCCTCTGCCTCTTACCTTCACATGTGCGAGCATGAGCTCTCTGAATAAATAAGCAAAATCTTTAAGAAACCAAACAAGTGAGTTTAGCAAGATTGCAGGATAGAGGGTCCATATAAAAAGATCACATTTTGGGGCGCGTGGGTGGCTCAGTAGGTTAAAGCCTCTGCCTTCAGCTAGGGTCATGATCCCAGGGTCCTGGGATCGAGCCCCGCATCAGGCTAGGGAGCCTGCTTCCTCTCTTTCTCTGCCTGCCTCTGCCTACTTGTGATCTCTGTCAAATAATAAATTCTTAAAAAAAATCACATTTCTAGCAATGAACAACTCTGGGAAGTGAAATTCCAAGATAGGACCATGTGAAAGCTGTCAGCAAGAAAAAAACAAAAGCATATGGTATTAGGTTTAACTAAACTTACTGTGGGGATCATATCGATTCATAAACAAATGCTGAGACACTAGGTTATATAACTGAAACTGACATAATGTTGTATGTTGATCATACCTCAATTTAAAAAATGTCTTCATTAATAAAAAAAGAAAGAAGACAGTATCACATATAATAGCACTAAAAAGCGAGCAAATACTTAGGTATAAACCTAAGAAAAAATAGGGAAGGTCTATAGGCTGAAAACTACAAAATGCTGATGACAGAAATCCAACCTGACCAACTAAATGGATAGGTGTACCATGTTCATAGACTGAAAGGCCTAGTATTTTTAGGATGTTACTCTCCCTAAACCGATGCAAAGATTCCATACATTCAAAATCCCAGTAGAAATTTTGGTAGAAAATGGCAAGCTAAGTCTAAAACTTATATAGAAAAGCAAAGGAACAGGTCATGATCTCAGGATCACAAGATCAAGCTCCACACTGAGCACGAAACCTGCTTAAGATTCTCTCTCCTCCTGGGCACCTCAGTGGCTCAGTTATTAAGCGTCTGCCTTTGGCTCAGGTCATGATCCCAGGGTCCTGGGATCGAGCCCCACGTTGGGCTCTTCGCTCAGCGGAAAGCCTGCTTCTCCCTCTCCAACTCCCCCTGCTTGTGTGTCTCTCCCTGTCAAATGAATAAATTTTAAAAAAATCTTTTTTTTTTTTTAATATGGCAAAAGAGCCGGGACCGGCCAATAAGTACATGAAAAGATACTCAAGATCATTAGTTGTGATGGAAATGTAAATTAAAACCACAACAAGACGATACTTCACAGCCACTAGAATGGCTTCGGTCCATCTTCAAGTACCAACCGAACTCTCCTCTGGTTCTGCTGGGAATGTAGAGAGCTGCAGCCACTTTGGATAACGGCTACATGGTTTCCCACAAGCCAGTGAAAACTACACTTACCTGCCGTTCCTCTCCTGGGAGAAACGAGAGCGTGTCCACACGGAATCCCACATGAGAATGTGTAAGGTGGCTTTGTGCACCATGGCCCAAACCGACAATCAAACCAAATGCCCTTCACTGGTAAATGGCTACACCCACCGTGGTCCGCTCACCCTGGGGAACATTCCTTAGCCACCCGAAGGAACCGGCACTGTGACAGGCAACCACAGGGAGGGACCCCCCCTCTCCTTTCTGTGAAAGCACATGCAAGAGGCTGCTGCATCCTGTGTGACCCCTTCTTAATGACCTTCCAGAAAAGGCAAAGTTATAGGGATGGAAATCAGGTAACTGCTGGGATGGGGGTGGGGCCGGCTTCAGGGGAGAGCCAAGGGATAGTGGGTGACTGTACCGTATCTTGACTGTGGTGGGTCTGTGACAGGATAAGTTTGTCAAAACTCGCAGAACCGTGTGCTAAAGAGTGACACTTAACTCTGTAAATTCTACCTGAAGAGATGGGGAAAAAAAAAAAGGAAGGAAGGAAGGAAGGAAGGAAGGAAGGAAGAAAGAAAGAAAGAAAGAAAGAAAGAAAACGGACAAGCTCGTAGGAATCGAAAATACCAGAGCACGCAGACACACAGGGATGCTTGTAAACAAGTTTACAAGGCAACACTAAAATTAGGAGGCAGGGGCTGTGATCTTTTGTTGAAACTCACTTCAACAAAGTAAATCATGTGAATTTAAATTAAAAAACAAACAAAAAAACCACAAATTAAATCATAGCCTCTGGGTGATGTGTCAAGGCAGCTTCCTCAAATGTCAAAGTGCACCTCTCTGGGTGGAGAGGCTGATGTGGGGAGGGAGGCTGTGGAGGGGGTGGCAGGGGTTATATGGGAAATCTCTGCACCTGCCACTCAGTTTTGCTATGAACCTAAAACTAACTTAAAAAAAAAAAAAAAATTAAGTCTGGGGCACCTGGGTGGGTCAGTCAGTTAAGCATCCGACTCTTGACTTAGGTTCAGGAAACAATCTCAGGGTCATCGTGAGATGGAACCCTGCACCTGGTGTGGAGCCTGCTTGAGATTCTCTCTCTCCTTCTACCTTCCTCCCCAACCCCCTCAAGTGCACTCTCTCACTTTCTAAGAAACAAAAATAATAATTAAAAAATTAATTCCAGGGGCGCCTGGGTGGCTCAGTGGGTTGAAGCCTCTGCCTTCGGCTCGGGTCATGATCCCAGGGTCCTGGGATCGAGCCCCGCGTTGGGCTCTCTGCTCGGCAGGAAGCCTGCTTCCCTTCCTCTCTCTCAGCCTGCCTCTCTGCCTACTTGTGATCTCTGTCTGTCAAATAAATAAATAAATAAATATTTTAAAAAAATTTAATTCCACTAAAAACAATTCACCCCCAAGAACTGACAGCAGTTTGTGAAAAGGTTTCCTTTTTCCTCAAGTTGGAGCTTAAGTCACATCATTATTTTTTTAAGTTTATTTATTTATTAAGTAATCTCCACACCTAACGTGGGCTTTGAACTCACGACCCGTGATCAAGAGCAGCTTGCTCTTCTGACTAAGCCAGCCAGGCGCCCCTTCTGTCACCTTATTAAGAACCTGCCATTTCACTCTACCAGAGTAAAAGGTAGGGAGCAGAAATTCATAGTTCACTGAATTTTACCATAAACCAAATTTGGGAAAATGGAAGGAATAACACAACCTCTCCACCTTCTCAGTATGGCACAACGAAACAAGATACGTAACTGGGTCATCTACTGAGTGTTTCTGTTAAATGCCACACAAAGCAGGTGTTTGTGTCGTTAAGTGCTTCATTCCATCATTTTCTTTTTCTTTTTAATTTATTTCCTACTTTGTAGATCACTGCCCTTTTTTTTTTTTTTAAGATTTTATCCATTTATTTGTGTGAGAGAGAGAGAGAGAGAGAGAGAGAGGGCACACACATGCCCACAAGCAGGGGGAATGGCAGGCAGAGGGAGAAGCAGGCCACCCACTGAGCAAGGAGCCCCATGTGGGACTTGATCCAGGATCCTGAGATCATGACCCGAGCCAAAGGCAGACGCTCAGCCAACTGAGCCATCCAGATGTCCCCGTCCCGTCATTTTCAATGGCTGCATGATTTTCGTGGTGTGACTATGGATAGTTCACTAAATTCTGCCTCTGATACTGGGTGCTTCAGCCCCATCCTTTCTTCCCCACAGTCCTTCTTTAAAACCCTGCAGGTGTTTTTCTAAGCACCAGCCAAGGTCAGGGACTTTGAGCTGGGCACCCGACAGCGCTGCTTCAGGACAGAATCCAGAAAGGGATTATCGGGTGGAAAGGAACAATCTCAGGTTTTAATAGAGATCATGTCTTTGCAAAAGGGATTTAGGACCATGCTGTGCCCGGCCCGTGCTACTTGGGTCAGAATTCCAAGTCCAACAGAACCCTATTCAGACCATTCAAACCGACGTTGTTACCTTTTTGGTGGTTTTCTTCTCGTACTGCAAGTATCGGGACTCAACGACTCTTCCACCTGCGGGGGACACGGTGTTGGTTTAGAAGAAGACAGCAAGAGCCAAGCGTAAGGAGCCCCGCTCCCCACTATCAAAACCAGGTCCTATGTGCTCTCCCAGATCAACAGCAGGAACGAGGAGGGGGGAGGGGGCGGGCACTCCTCCCCCTTGCTCCTCTCAGATCCCGAGCTTCAGTACCCTCGAGCATGTATGGGACATCTACTGTACGCGAGAACATGTGGGATACCTACGGTTTACAAGTCCCCAGACTATAAGAGAACGGGCTCAAAGTAGATAGCGGATTCAGGGGCAGGGCAGGGACAGGATAAAAGACCTTCCGCAGGTGGGCACCTGTTGGCCGCCCCTCCCCCTCCTCCTCCCTTTCCACTCACTCCCTGTGGTCACACAAAGGTGGTCCCGGCCACCCCTTCCTTCACCAGCCTGTGTGTATGACCCACTCATGGTACAGGGCTTTCATGCCTCTTTATGCCCTTACCTAGCTCGGGGCCTCTCGGGAGACATGCTCAACACCAGGGTCATATACCATGGTGACAGCCCAGCCCAGGTCCCCCCACCTCCCATTCCATGCCTGCCTTGCAATTAGGGGGTTTCTCACAATGGCCCAAGTGATCACCCACAGTCCTATGCTCTGAATCCCAACCCCTCTCCCCAGTCCTCCCTTGTACCTTCTCCCCCCCACTTCCCCCACACTGGGTCCCCCCAGTTAGCTAATGACCAGTTACTGCTTCACCAGGAAGACAGCAGCAGCCCCGGGAGACCATCCCACCTCAGCATCTGGCAGCCTCCCAAGTTCAGGGCCATATCCTGGCCCCACCAAGTGGAGGGATCTCTGTGCTTGCCACTGCCCTGGCAAACCCCCTCCCCCAGTTCCTCTCTTCAACGGTCTTCCTGTTATTTCCCCCCCGACGACCACCTATACCACCCCCTACACCTCCACTCCCCTCTACAATGGCGGCTCCTCTTCCTCTACCCTCTCCGGAACCCCAGTCCTGTCCGATGTGGTTCTCACGATCACCACGGTACCAGAGAAACCGCTTTCTGCAAGACCACCGCGGTCTCCCTGCTCCAAAGCCCACCGACCCATTCCCAATGTGCATTCTGAACACAGCACTTGCAGGCATGCTTCCCTGGAAACATCCTGTGTCCTCCAGGCGGGCTTCCCCACTGGCAGCTGAGAACTGGCTCCCTTGCAGGTCCTGAGCACCTCCAGGCACCTCGCAGGCCTCACATTCCCGAGGGGACCTCCCTCTCACCTCACTGCCCCTGCTCTTTCCTTCCAGCCACCTCGAGGGCCAGGACTTCTGTCTGCCTTGCTTGTGACTACAGTCCACCACCCAGCAGGGAGCAGGCACCCGACCAGGCATCAGGTGCCCCATTGTACACTTTTTCTAGGTAGCTCCAGAGCTTGGGGCTCTCCCTTTCTCATGAAAGGACCCAGGAAGAGGACACAGTTAATGTCCCATGGCTTGAAAGTTTGGTTAAGTGACATGGTGATTTCAACTGGATCTTCATGCCAGGATGTCATCTTTCACTGGGGCTGGGGGTGTGGCTACAACCCTGAGTGGAAAGGAGATACACCCATAGTTCATGGGGAGCATGAAGCTGGACAAGGAGCTAGTGGTTGCCCGGAGCGAGCACCAGGCAAGGAAGAGCCATGCCTGCAGGGTGAGTGGGCTCGGACCATCAGGCAGGAGGTGCTTAAGGGTCAAGACCAAGACCAGGTGGGGTCCAGGGGAGAAAATCCAAACACACAAAGGGTCTACCCCTGGATGTCCGGCAAGGGATCAGGGCAAAGGACACCTCCATTTTCAAGCAAAGGAAATAATGCTGCTTTTAGTCCGATGCCATCGGCAAAGGGTTTCGCTCCTCCGGAAGGATCCAAGGCCTGGGGTTCCCTGGACAGCTGAGTTTCCAGAAACCAGGACGTACGTGTTTGTTTTGAGCAGCAGTGGATTTTCCAGAGAAGCAATGGTACGACGAAGGATATAATTTGTGTTCCAGAGCTAGACCACATGTAAACATACCACAGGTCATAAACAAGATCGGCGAGCCAGGCTGTAACGGAGGACCCTGCAGCCACTCGGAAGCAGAAGCCTGTTCTAAGTTCTCGGAGATGCACACTGGCACGCGGAACACTTGAAGCAAACAGCTCTTTGTATCTTTGTATCGAGATCCTCGAGCCCACTGCCCACAGCGGCACTGCCAAGAGTCAAGGGAGGCTGTGAACAGTGACTGCAGACCCACTCGGGGACACCAGATGCAGGGGCACCCGAGGTGCTTCCAGAGAAGAAACCAAGACCTCAGTGTTTGCTAATGAATTCAGCTTCGGCTCTCCTCACCCACACGTCTAGTGGCGAGGTCTGCGCACAGCCTGTGACTCCTGCCGCTGGAAGGGCCCACTGCCCTGGGTGACCTCCCCCAGTCCTGTCACACCCCTGGCCACAGAGCTGGATGACCAGACTCGGACTTCCCAGAGGTGTCCCTACAAGGAAATAGAGCCCTAGCTTCCCTGCTCTGGCCTGTTTTTTTCCTTCCCCAAAAGCACTTACTGAAACTGGATCGTAAGCTAGATTCCGACTTTGCTCACCTTGTGTTTTTCTTCCTTTCATCTTAGCGCCACCAGGAGTACCGGGACCCCCCGCGGAAGGCTTCCTAGAAGAGGGACATAGAGGGTCTTGCTGACATAGTTACGTAGTTGGCTAAGCTCAGGGAAGGCAGTGAGGAGCCCGGGCTTCCTTGGGACAACGCAGTCCCAGCATCCCCAACCGCCCCCACCAATCTCCTGGCCACGCGCCCATGTCTTCCAGGCAGGGTCACCTTGACAGGAACAGAGACTCAGAGCCCCTGCCTGGCTGAAGCTGAGAAGGGCCCAGAGCAAGAAGAGTGAGAGGGGCAAGCAGGTTTGCCAAGCCTCAAAGATCTCAACATAAGTCAGGGCTTCGTTAATTGTGCCCACTCTATGCTCCTAGTAATAAGCCGGTGAATGAGAGATGGAACTCCTTCCCTGAGAGGGAAGAGCAGCGCTTCCCGGTCAGGCCACGTGAAGAGCGCCCAGACACGTAAGGGGGTGAGGGGAGGTGAGAGACAAAGCCCCAATTGCCCAGGTCCATGAGGAAGGACATTCAGAGACAGGGAGCAACAAGGCCAAGGGCACAAGGACAGAGGAGAATGATGTCAAAATAGGAACTGATCAGCCCTATGGCTTCACTGGCAGAGTTCTGACTTCCCGGCTTATGGGCTCAGCCTACCGACTGGCAACCCTTCTCTGCAAAGGACTGGACAACAGAGATTTTCAGCTTTATGGGTCATATGTTCCTGCCAAGAAATAAGAAAACCCTGAGTGTATTTCAGCCCCCAAAAGAAGCAAGATACTGATACATGCTAAAACGGACGAGTCTCAAAAATATTATCCTGGGATGGGGGCATCTGGGCGGCTCAGTCAGATAAGAATCTGACTCTTGATTTCGGCCTGGGTCATGATCTCAGGGTACTGAGATGGAGCACTGAGGCAGAGTCTGCTTGAGATTCTCTCCCTCTGCCCCTCTTCCTGCTTGCTCTCTCTCAAATAAATAAATAAATCTTTAAAAAAAATTTTTTTTTAAATATTATCCTGGGGGCACCTGGCTGGCTCCGTCCATGGGACATGTGACTCTTGATCTTGAGGTCAGGAGTCCGAACCCCACATTGCGGGTAGAGTTTATTTAGAAAAATAAACAAAATTTCTTTTTAAAAAAATTATCCTGGATGAAAAAAACAGACATACATTGTACAAGTCTATGTATCTGAAATGCCCAGAACAGCCAAAGTAAGACAGAAGGCAGATTGTGATGGTCAGGAGCAGAGGGGTGGATGAAGGATGGGGAGTGACTGAAAATGAATACAAAGTTTCCTTCTGGACTGATGAAATGTTCTGGAACTAGACAGAGCTGGTGGTATGAATGTCTTAAGGCCATTAGATGGCTCACTTTGAAATTCTGTTTATGTGTGTTTCACCCCTATTTAAGGGAAGAAAGAATGAAGCTCGATGTATTAGAAGAGAGGGAACCTCGAGGCAGGAGACTCGGGGATGCGTCCCAGGAGTCCAATCTGGGCAAGCAAGACGCTACCAATAGAGACCAGCAACCAGAGAGGAGCAGACTGAGGGGCAGGGCCGGGGGCCTGGGCACTGTAACCCCTGCTGACGTCAGGACTCAAGCTCCACTGGTCACAAAGCAGCGGTCCCCTTGCTCAGCTCACTGCAGACTCTGAGGACCCCAAGTGAGATCCAGCAGTGCTGGCCATAGTGGGCAGAGGCAACCAACCAAATAAATGCTCACTGGGTCCCCGTAGCTCTCCTCCTTCACACAATCCTCCCAACCCTACAAAAACCTCCCCGTTGCCCTGCTTTATCCTTGTTTTCTGGAAAAGGACTGGAGTGTTTGAACAGGTCACCTCTATCAAGTCTCAAAGCTGGCAAGGGACAGAGCACAGATTCCCTACTGGGTCTGAGCCAGGGCTCTAGAATCAAACCGAATGGGGGCGGTGGGTTCATTACACCTGTGCCAGCCTCAGATACCTCCCCCCAAACCCTGGAGAGGGTAAGGGCAATCTCACAGGGTAATGATCCCTGGATTAAACACAAGTGATTTCAAATGGTCTATTAAACTTCAGTTTGCACTGGCACAACAGAACATCAGCCGAGTGAACAAATAAAACGAACCCAGCCCAGGAATCATGCCTGGAACCGGGTAAATGGTCAAAGTCTTGTCTCTATTGCTCTTGCTGTGTGATCCTAGACAAATGACCTCTCTCCCTGAGCCTCTATCATCTCATCTGTAAAGGGGAAGCATAGGAAAGAAGGGTTGGGAGGATTAAAGGAGATTCTTTAGTGGCCCAGCACTTGTCCACTATAAAATGGCAACTAATCGCGACAGATCACGTTCAAGAGCCACGCACTGTTCTAAGTTCCTAAGTTTCACCGGAGGCGTACAAAGTTGAACGGCGGCGTCATTCGCCGGGTTTCTCAGCGGAGCAAAGCGAAAGCACAGAGAGGTTAAGCCACTAGCCAGAGATCGCCCCGCACCCACACAACTTACTGGGGACTCAAGTCTAGTTCCGCGCCCAGGCTGCCGAGCATGCGCAGCGGCCGCCTCCCGCCTCCCAGAGCCCGTGCACCCTCGGTGGGGCCCAGGGGTCAGATGCCCAATCCCCAACTCTGCTGCCCCACCTCCCCCAGCTCTCGGCCATGGCCTTCTCGCCGGCACCCACAAAATACAGACCTGTGGCGCTTCAACTCACCCAGCTCCGCGTCCCGAGGAATCCGCCATTTCCCGCCTTTAGCTCAAAGGCCGGCTCTTCAAATCCGGGTCCCCGCCCCCTCGCCCCGGGCCGGGCCATATTGCGCCGCCATGGGAGGGGTGGCCGCTGGCCTCGGAGAGCGTGTCTGCGGGTGAAGCGGGAGACCCCCGAGCGCGCGCCACTCTGTTTTCCCCTCACACTTGGTTTCATCCACCAGCTGCAGGAGGCGGTGTCCTGAGCCGGTAGGGAGGGGGCGGGTCTTCGCGGCGCTCCGCCCCGGAACGCGCTGGCGTCACGCCCCAGCCCCGCCCCTCCGGAACCCGGAAGCGGGAGCGCGCGGGGGAGCGGCGGGCGCGGCGGGGCGGAGCGGGCGGACCAGTGGTGGGCGGTCGGGCTGGCGGCCGGGCGGGGAGCCGGCCCGGGACCGGCGGCGCGCGGCGTCCGAGGCCCAGGTGAGTGGCGCGGCCGCGGGTTGGGGGCTCGATCTCGAAGCTCGCCTTCGCGGATTGGCTTGTAGGCTACAGAGCTGAGGGTTAATGGAGGGAGGCGCGAAGCCTGGGGTCGAGGGAGCGGGAACGAGCTTGGGGGTCGTGAAGGGGTTGCAGGAGACGGAGTGGGAGCGGGACGGTTTAGGAGAAAGTTGATGGAATGGGCCTGGTGAGGGAGTTTGCTCATGCAGATGGAGCAGGTCTTGTGGCTTTGAGCGGCTTCTCTGAAGAGGACGTGGCTTTAGTGGTAGTTGGGGGGTCGCAGGAAACGGGGCGGGGAGGGGTAAAGGCAAGGAGGCGGGGTTGAGAGGCCCAGGCGGGGGACGTGGGGCAAAGCCGGTGGGAAGACAGCCGGGGTGCGATTGGGGGAAGAGTTACAGGATGGCCTGGGGGCGTCTGCCCTCGGTTGAAGGGGTAAACGAATGGCTACTGGGGGAGGGACGCGCCTAGGGTTCTGTGGGTGCTCAAATTCTGGAGGTCTGAACCCACTGGTGTGGTGGGCCACGAAATGGGGAAGGGGGCAAGGGGAGATGGGAGAGGAGGAGAAAAGTCATGGCAAGAACTGAGAGCCAGTTCAGGGGGGGGTGCTGAGAAGGAGAGGAAAGGACAAGGGTAGCAGGGTACAGATGTCGGGGTGCTGCCCATTGGATTTTGGGTCCCCCTTTCTCTTGTTTCATATGTTTCTTGACTTAACCCCCAGCTGCTGGGTAACCCCGGCAGGTCCCAGTGCCCTCTGGGCTGGTATTCTATTCCAGACTTGGAAACCATGCCACTCTCCTAAGATGAGGCTGGCTGGAGCTGGCGGGGGCGTGGGGGGGTGTCCCAGGGAGTAAGGAAGGAGACTCCAGACCTCACTGGGGCCGGAACTGGGTTTGAGAGGGGAGGGGAGTGGGTGTGCACACACCCGCGTGTGCTAGGCTGTCACCACCTCCTCGGAGTTGCATCCTTGGACTTAAATGGGTAAAACGACATACAGGAAATCTGTCCCCCGGCGGCTGTGAGCTCAGCCAGAGAGAGGCAGGGCAGCCCGCAGCCACGGGGCAGTCAGCCTGCGTGCTCTCCCTTCTTCTCCCGCCGGGCGCCTGATAGGCCGGGGGTCTTTAAGGGAAAACCATTCTTACACCTCTTTTGTTTGAGGTGGGAGCTGGTGGGGATATTGTGTCTTAGAGCTGGAGGTCCCAGCTCCTACCTTTCTGAGGAGTATTCTGGTCTTGGAGTCTCCAGACTCTTACGGCATCCAGGAGCCGTGGGAGGCCTCTTGGGCAGCTGGGCTGGGAAGTTGTTTCATCGTCTGATGGGCCTGACTCTGGCAAGAGCCTTGCACTGGGCAGTTTTAATCAGCATTAACTTCTCTTCTTTCCTAATCGTGGGGATCCTTGTCCAGCCAGGATCTGCCAGAAGGGCTGGGGGGCCTGGGTTTATAGCTCATTCAGGAAATGAATCTGGATAGATTGAATGTAAAGAGGGCCACAGAGAGAGTAACTTCTTCCTTTACTTCCAGAATGTTCTGGCCCTTATGGAAGGTAGCTTTTGGCCTTGCTTGCCCCAGGGCACATGATCAGAGCCCAGAGCCATGCCTCCTACAGACATTGAGTATGGGCTTGCCCTGGCTAGGACACCCCTGAGTGAACAGAACTGGAATCTTCTGGTTGCATGGCACTGGTGCTTGTCTCCCAGTAAGTGCAGCCAGTCAGAAGTCCCAACCTCCCGTCAAGTCTCGTTGTCTGTTTCTTCACCTGCAAAATGAATGGGTTGGCTTCAGTCAGCATTTCTCAAGTTTAGAACCCAATCTTGACAATCTTAGCGTCTCTGGCACACACCCCCCTCACGTTTTATATAGTGAATCCCCACTGCGGTGATCCCACTTGGGTTCAGCTTTCAACACTGTATGGTTTGTATCCAAAAACGACCTTTTTTACTGTTCCTTTATCTTTTGCATGGAAAATTCCACAAATTCCACGTTTGCTTTTGCACGTTATACCTGTTCCCAAAGCTTCAGCTGCACCTTTCCAGTCAGAAATCCCTGAGTGAGACTCTCCCTCAGTTCCAGGCTTCTGGCTCAGAGAAGAGGGTAGAGACTCAGGAATGTCCCCTTTCTGTTTGACTGTAGGATCTATTTTCTGTCCCCAACAGAGGCTTGTGAGTTTGCCACTTCCCTTTCCTTGTCTCCCCAAGTTGTGTCTTGCGTGGGCTCAGGAGTTCAATTCAGCAAGTGCTGATCCTTCCAGCATTGGGGACTGGGCCCTGGGGACAGAGATGAGCCTTCATGCCCTGGAGGAGGCGCATTCTGGTGTTCTCCCTCCCACTGAAATAATGACATGCAGAGTGGGTGGTCAGTGCAGCAACCGAGGTGGTGGGACCGAATCGGGGATGGCCAGCGCAAGCTTCAGGGCTTGGGGTGTTCTGGCAAGTTTCCTTGGAAGAGGTGGCAAGGTCCAAGCCGGGCCTCGAAGGATACGGAGGTGTTAAATTGAGCCAGGAAGAGGGAACTGCACGAGCGGATCGCTGCACTGCTCTCCCCTTTGTTGAGCATCCTTTGTGACGGACGCTTTTATACCCACCTCTTCTTTTCTGCCAGCCCACAGCAAGCAGTCCTGGTTCTTTTTTCCGTATGGAAACCGAGGCTCGGGCAGGTGGCGACGCCACAGACGGCTCCCTGGGCTTTCCAGAAACGCAAAGGATGATTAGTAACCTCAAATCGTCAAAGACCGAACTGCGGGAGCGCAGTTTCTCAACTGCAGCACCATTGACCTTGGGGCTGGATTATTTTTTGCTGTGGGGGCCGTCCCACCCGTGACAGGACATCAGGCAGCATCTCTTGTCTTCACCCAGTAGACGCCAATAGCATACACCCCCTGAGTCGCGACCACCCAGAATGTCCCCAGATGTGGCTGTGTGTCCCTTGGGGCACAGAACCACCTCTCCATAGTGAAATCTGGTTACTGCCCGAGGCCTCCCTCTGCCTCAGTGGGTCTTTGGTGTTTGGTCAGCTCCCAGGGAACTGCTGCCCAGGGCAGGCGTGGGGAAGAGTGACCGCCAACTGAATTCTGCCTTCTGGGCAATTCTTAATCTAGAGTCCTGATTACAAGAAGGAGGCAGCACTGGGAGAGGACTGAGGGGGAGTTAGGCAGCTCCCCTCCCAAGAACGGGGAGCAGAGGAGGAATGAGAGGTGAGCCAGGGCCCTCTTCGCTCACAGGGACAGCAGATGCCATTGTCTTTCTCTTTGTCTTACGGCTGACCTGGATCTCTGCAGGAATCATCCCTCGTCTCAGAACAAACTGTTGCTTTTCTTCTGAGATTAGAGGTATTAGATCTCTTCTCGAGTGCTCCTTTGGCAGGGGCCCCAGATCGGTGCGGCTCCTGAAGGCACATTTTCTTCTCCCGTTCGCCCTCGTGGCCGCAGATGCTGGCCTCTCCTCGAGCACAGACTGCCTAACTTTTGCTCTTCGTGTGTCCTCCTCTGCTTGTTCCCCAACCAAGACATAGCTGCTGTAACTCTGTGGGAGGAAACGGCATGTTCTGGGGCCGCCCGACCCTGTCTGGGTACTGCCCTCCCCCACCGGTCCCCATCCACCAGGCCTTTGTGTGCCCAGCGTCCCCAACCAACTGTGCCAGGCAGCCCCTGCTCGGCCTCCCTGCAGAGCAAGACAGGCCCTTCTCTCTGCCCTCATCCGGGACGGACAGAATCGCAGAACAAAGGGCTCTGTCTGAGCACCGTCGGGTCCCCGACGGGCCCTGTCATTTCACCTCTTTTCACTTTGGCCCAGAAAGGGCTTTGGAGATTAGACATGTCTCAGAAACACAGCCGATGAGCCTGGGTTCTACTCATTTCCTCGTCGAGACTTTCCTGCGCCCCTGCCCGATGATAAATAAAGTAGTGATTCAAAGGCTCAGCCTGTGGGTTAGTCGGAGCAATGAATAAGCTGTCCGGGTCTGACTCACTCGTTCATAACCCAGCTCTGCCCTGCTCCACGGGATTGTTATGTGTAAGAGGGGACCCCGCCATGCGCACTGCAGTACTGTCCCTGCTGAGTGTGTGAGCCTTCCAGGACCACTGGGACAAAGACGCACTGACCCCGCAGCTTTAACATCAGGAATTTATTGTCTCGTGAATCTGGAGGCCAGAAGTCCAAGATCAAGGTGTTGGCAGGGTTGGTTTTCTCTGAGAGGCGCTTCTGTTGCAAGGTCTCCCTCCTTAGCATGTAGTCGACCGTCTTCTCCCTGTGTCCCGAGACTGTCCTCCTTCTGGGCGTGCCTGTGTCTGCATCTTCTCTTGTCAGGACACTAGTCCTATCAGATCGGGCCCACTCTAATAACCTCATTTTAACTGAATCACCTCTTTAAAGATCCTGTCTCCAAATACAGTCACATTCTGGGCTGCGGGGCAGTAGGACTTCAACATAATGAATGGGGGGGGGGGGGGTGGGTTGGGACCCACTTCAGCCCCTCATACTGGGTAAGGGACAAATTGCATTCTTATTGAGTGAAGAAGTTTTGGATAAATAATTGCACCAATAGAGTTCATGTTGTTTAGTCTTACGCTTCTAAAATAAACATCTTAAAGGTGGTGGGCAAGTTGGCCACATCAACTTTGGAAACGTCCCATTAGGAACCTTCCAGATCCCACACATGTTCTTACAGTTGGGATGACGATAGAGAGGCAAGGACCCTGCTCAGAGGGAGCGGGTCTCGTGTGACATTACAAGGGGTGTATTTAGAGCCAGGCCTGGGAGACTGTGTGTGTCTGCC